GTTTAAAATTGACCAAATGTGAAACAGCTTAAAGGGTGTGAATACTTTTATGAGGCAAATAATGAACATGACTGTGTTCGGAAATCAGTCCAAGATCTGGAAGGTAATTACAAGCTGCAGTATTTGTGGCATTAGGAGGAAGGTCTGAGTCGGGTATTAAGGTGGGGGTTAGCCCGCTGCACGGCCTCACAGGCAGCCATTTGGGGCTTTTGGTTTAGACTTTGTGTCTCTGGAGAGAAAAAAAAACACCACTGCTGCGACATGGAGTCGGGGGCCGGCACCACAAGTGCAGCTTAAAGCCACAATTATTATGGCCATAGATCATGAGGAAAGGCTACGCACCAAATATAACGACAATATCAAGTTAAAGTGAAACAGGGCAGCGAGGGGGGATAATTGCTAATGTTTTAAAGGCATTATGGGACCATTAAATGGAGAGTGCTTTGTGTGTCAGTGTGCTTAGCTTTTTTTCCCCCTTTTTATCTGATGTGTATGAGCTTTTCTGTCAACTTCTTATGCTGTTTGCTTGGTTTGATGAATCACCTCAAGAGGAAAAAAGACCTTTTTCCCCTGCAAGACAAACAGCCTGAGGGGACAAGCAGACGTCTCTGAATCAGAGCTTGCTTGCATTCAAACACACACAAAACACCAAGCATCAGTTTATGCTTAGATGACAATGAGGTTTGTGCATGAATCTTAATCTGATATCAGAGATCTGATTGTTCCTTATGTTCCTAACAGAGCACTTCACTCTCAATCTGCAGGTTTACTAGTGGTTCCTAGAATTTCTAAAAGTAGACTGGGAGGCAGATGTTTTAGTTATCAGGCTCCTCTCCTGTGGAACCAACTACCAGTTTTAGTCCATGAGGCAGACACCCTGTCTACTTTTAAGGACAGACTCAAAACTTTCCTTTTTGATAAAGCTTATAGTTAGAGTGGCTCAGGTTATCCTGAGCTATCTCTAGAGTTAGGCTGCTATAGGCTTAGACTGCTGGAGGACATAGGGACCCCTTTTTCATCATTCTGCTTCATATTATCTTTATTCTCCCACTCTGCAGAATCTGTTAGTTCAATCTCTAACGTTCTGCTTTCTCTGCTTTTTCTCATAGTAGTTTCACCTCGTCTGTTCCTTTTTGGCTGTGACTCCATCCTGGAGAGAAATATCAACTGTGCTACTGCCATCAACACCCTTGTTTATAGATGTT